AGATCAATAACATCAACAACTCAGATCAATAACATCAACAACTCTGATCAATAACATCAACAACTCAGATCAATAACATCAAGAACGGATCAATAACTCAGGTGCGCCCTCGTGCGGTGGAGGCAGCAGCGACGAATCCCAGCGACGGTAGAGAGGATGAGCGCGCTCGCCAACAGGGCAGCGCCACTGAGCAGGAAGGTGGCTGTGTAACTTCCTGTGATGTCAACCAGCCAACCTGCAGACCACAGAAGAAGAGTTAAGTTGTGACATCACCACGGTCCAACTGCGTCTGTTCGAGTACACACAGACCAATCAGAAATAAGAGTGAGCATGTCGTCAGGCGGAAGAGTTACGCTGATGGCACTGACAACAAACCCAAAATAAGTCGGACTGTCAATCATGACTGACAGTAAATGTTCGAATGCTAACAACAAAAGGCTAATTTTAAATTTCAAATTATAAAATGTTTAAAAATGATAATAACAAAACATTTGAATGCTAATATTGTTAAAATGTAAATGATAAAAGTGATGTTCATGTAGAAATGTTAGTTGCAAAGCTAAAGCTAAGAGATAAACTGCACATGGACGTTTCTTGCAGTTGGAGTTTGAGGATGAAGATGACGTGACGCACGTTAAAGAGTCGAACTCTCCACAGTTAAAGGAGACGTCAACGTTGCTGCTGCTTGAACAGAATCAGTTTGTTGTGTGAACTCGACATATTTAAGATTCTGTCCCGCTCACGTGTTGCTAACATTGACTCATCAGAGATTTCGTTCAACAGTTTGTTTACATATTATTGTGCTTTTGTTTGATTATAATTTACAGACTATAGATATATATAAAAATCAAGCTTTCTTGTGGGATATTTCAGGCTCTTTGTGGCCCTCTAGTGGCCAGTTTCCTTCTGACTAAGACTTATTACTGAATCTTTTCTTTCTGTTTATTTGACCTCGGAATGAAATTAAGATTTTTGTTCAATTTAATGTCAAAAACTTAAAATACATAATAAACAACAGAATAATATGTAAAAGACAAAATAATTCAGTTGACCATATGACACAGACGTGGGCGGAGTCTTTGGCCTCATACTGCATCACATTGTTTCCTGCTCATGAAGTTTCTCTGGTACTTTGACTCTTGATGAGTTAAGAACAAAAGACGTTGCTGCTTGTCGACATCAATGAAACAAATCAAATGTGATTGATCTTATGAATATGTAATGGGGGGGGGGGCTATTTAAAAAGAAAAAACATGGAGGTGACTGTTTTGTGAAATGTCAGATGATAAACTGTTAAAATAATATTTTTAATCAAATATTTTGAAAACAAAGTGTGGTCATTTTGCTCACCCCCGATGGGCGGGCTGACGAGATACGGGATGGCGTGGAGGAAATAGACCACACCCAGTGCCGAGGACAGGTATGGAGCTCCCACCACATCCGAAGTCACCACAGGGATCAGAGCAACGTAGGCTCCGTCGAAGTATCCGAAGAGAACTGCGAAGGGCACGAGGATCGGGAAGGATCGAAGCAACGGCACGAAGAGGCAGCAGAGACCCTCCATCGCCACGGAGACGATATAACAGGTGAGACGATACGGCTTCAAACACCTGAGACAGTAAAACACCACATTTACATAACTGCAGTTTATCAATGATCCGCTCATTATCTCTTTGTCCTTTAAACTCTCTGTCCTCTGTCCTTTCTACATTAAATTTCTGCCAATAGATCTTTCACCTGAATCTCACACACTGCACCTTTAACAGAAAAGGAAGGAAAGGTCAGATTCGAAAGTTTGGACTGGAACGATAAGTTTTGTCTGTCAGTCAGCAGAGTGAGACGTAAAGAAACATGTCCGCTCGTCTCCACTTTCTCCAGAAATGAAGTTAAAATATCTCAGATTCAAACGCTGCCCTCTTGTGGTGACGTCATTTGGAGTCAGATCAGTGGGGGAGGAGCCGGCAGCTCACTGATTGATCATCAAGGACATTTTCGAAACCAGGAGACGAACTGACTCTTTAAGGTTTCAGGTCGACAGGTTTTATCTCCACGTTGAGCTGACGGGGTTTTCTGACGTCGTGTCAACAGGACAGTTGAGGAACAGAGTTCAGTTCAGGGTCGTCCTGTACGAAGGAAGTTGAATGACTATTGTCACACTCTGTTTGTTCCACTGTTCATCGTCAGGATGAAAAGTCCGAGTCAACGACGATAAAGTCAAACAAACAACAGTTTCAACAAATTCAGTCGTGATAATTCAACTAATTATGTGAATAAAAGGGAAATAATATCGTTCAGATTGTTTCAATTAAAAGTGACGAAATCATTTTCATGTTAATCATCGTTTACACCCCTGAGCTTGTCCGCTTTGATTGGTTCACAGATTGACTTCCTGTCTGGCGGAGTCGTACCTGCGGTCTGTCAGCCAGCCGAAGGTGATGTTCCCCACGATGTCAATGACTCCAAGGATCGACATGAGGAAAGCGGCGTGCTGGTGCCTGACGCCGGCATGCAGAGCATAGGGCACCAGGTAGACGAAGGGGAGGCTGCAGCCGCTGGCTAAGAACAGGAAGGACACGGCCAGGAACAGGAAGTCGGGCAGCAGCAGGAAGCGGTACTCCTCACTTGACCAGAAGCAGGAGCTGGAGCATCTCCACCTCTCCACCTGAGGGGTGGGGTTTCTCTGCAGGAGGGGTAGCGACGGTAAAGAAGGAGAGGGCGACGCACCTGATGAAGAACATCCAACGTCAGATTCTTTGGAGAGCTTCACTGCGAGTTCGGCATCCTGCGATGACACAGGACCTGTGGTGGGAGACGGACAGGTGACCACGTGTCAGTTTGAATAAACGTGTTCTGTCAAAATGAAGGACATGCTTATCACTGCTCCTCACCACGTGTGTCCTCCCCCGCTGAGTCCGTCTCCTCCTCCCGCAGTGTGATCGGTCGAAGAAGCGCCCCACAGACACAGAGGTTGGCGACGAAGGCGCTGAGGACGAGCAGCGCCCCCCTCCACGAGTACAGCTCGATCAACAGCTGCACGACCGGAGCCAAGACAAACGTCCCGATCCCGCTGCCTGACATGGCGACGCCGTAGGCCAGAGCCTTCCTCCGCTGGAAATAACAACCCACCATGGCGATGGCCGGCGTGTAACAGAGAGCGAAACCCAGACCTGGACAACAAGGACAGTTTGAAAAGTGAGGACATTTTAGGAAAACAATACTTTTTAAATTGAAGACATTTTTGATAATAGAGACATCCTTAACACATGGTGACACTTGAAGACATATTGACAGAGTGGAGACATGTTGACCTGTTGCACTGCAGGGACCGATCGACCTGTGAGGCGGTTTCAATTGCAGGGACATGTTGACACGTTGACCTGTGTGGACATGTTGACCTATGAGGACATGTATACCTGTGAGGACGCCCATGAAGACATAGAGCAGCTCTAGGCTGCTGGTGAAGGAGCTGAGGAGGAGGCCACAGGACGAGATAAGTCCTCCCAACATCACCGTCCCCCGGCATGACCACCGGTTCCCAACCAGACTGCCGACAGGAGCTGGACACACAGAAACACACAGCTGATGTCAGAGCGGTGCAGCGCCCCCTGCAGGTTGCTGACGGGTGTGATGGCACTGACCACCGAGCATCGTGGTGCAGTCCACCAGACTGTGGATCCACGCTGTCTCTGAGTAGTCGGCTCCGAAATGAGCCTGAAACTCGGCGAAGAAGATGGAGATGCACCTGCAGGCAGAGTGTGATGAGTTATTGATCAGTGATCAGTTAATCTGTTGATGATCAGCTGAGCCAGTGTTGTGTAACGTCCACTGAGGTTTCTGGACTTCACAGTTCACTTCCTGTTATGTAAATGGTTTGAATGGTTAAACTGGGACCACAGTCCACCTGCGCTCACAACGATCCGCTTCGTGGTAAGTGGTTGTCAGGGGTAACCGAGGCAGAGCTAGTTTCTTTTCCTCCGACATGGTTCAGAAAATGATTGGCTCGGTGGTCTGGACCCGATCCTCCATTAACAACATTTTCCCGATCTCATGCTTCTGGAACATCGGACTCGAGGTTCATGAACCTTGAGAACAACGTTTTATCTGTGAAATAAAAACTAGACTCAACGAATAGGATTCAAAGTGAAATGCTTCCTGTCTGTGGCTCAGCAGCTGATCTCAGGGTTGATGGTTCCAGCGCCAAGTTCTGTTGAGCAACTTCAACCCAAAGTTCTCCTGATGTTTGCTTCTTTGTGATTCTTCACATTGTCGAGTTATTTTCTGTGGTTGATGATGAAACGTCTCAGACGTCCATCGTGTCTCAAACTGCTCGTGTCTCAACCCAAACAGTCCCCCCCCCCCCGTTTCCAGTCTTTATGCTATGCTAAGCTATCTGTCTCTTTATAGAACTACAAACTGTGATGAAGAACAGAAAAATTAAGTTTAATAGAAATCAACATATAATAGTTTAAGAGAGAGAGCTTCTGTTGTGTCTTTGTGTGTGTGTGTGTGTGTGTGTGTGTGTGTGTGTGTCTGTGTGTGTGTGTGTTACCTGGTCACTGCTCGTGTGCAGACCGTCACCATGAAGCAGCAGCCGACGATCACCCAGCCCCACCCCCCGTCCGGAGGAGACACCCCGCTGCTCCGCTGCTTCACCATGACTGCAGCTTCAGGCTGAACTGGACTCCTTTGGTCCTGGCTCAGATCCTGGTTCAGGTCCTGGTCTTGGTCTTGGTTCAGATCCTGGTTCAGGTCCTGATTCTGGTTCAGGTCCACCCGTGAGGAG